AACTAAAGGTAGAATCCATTAAAGGGGAGTGATGGTACTTATAAGGATTTCAAATGCACTATTTGCATTTCTATACTATTGTTTTTCGCATCTGCAATTGTTGTCCTTAGATAAAACTATGATTTGAAATCTTATTGTGACCCCTCTCACAGTATGCCGCTAAAGAGTCCTCAAATAACTAATATCAGCCTCCAAGCTCCATTGCAACATATTTTTATGTCCATTGAAAAATATACTCACCTCTAAGTCCTCAATACTCCCAAAGCTCCTCATTGTTATGTTTACACTGACGTTGAGGTGTTCAACTATAATTATTATGTATGGACTACAGGATTCGTTCTTGGACTGCAATTCACTCATTTAGATGTTGGATTCTTGAAACATTTCACACTTGATTGGAAAGAAATGAAAAAATGGCCCTGGTATCTTTGGGCTCTCTTTATTAGCCTCATCGCTATAATAGGATTTATATTCAGCTACCTCTATCATCTCTACTCTACAATTCAATTGTTCAACATTTACATCGGGATCTTTGCAGGAATTATTAGCCTAGTTTGGTTAAGAGGTAAGATGCTAGGTAAAAACTATGAATTGCACATCCATCATTACTTCTTAGGTTTGACTATGTGCTCTATTGTTTGCTATTAGAATGTCTTCTTTTCTTTAGTTCATTCAATATTCAATGGTATTATGATTGAGGGAGGATGCAGATGGGGATATTAATCTCTTTGGGAACTAAAAAAAACGCCTGGCTGCACAAACGAAAGATCTCACTTGACCTTATTGAAATTCGCTTAAAGTAAGGGGAGATATGCTAACTACTAGACAACAATAGGATAAGTGTCATCTTAATCTTAGATTATTCCTACTGATGATTAATAGGTAGAATTGATATAAGATAACTCTGCTATTAATCAATCGTTCAACTATGTTTATGAGGATACCAAGGACTCTAAAACTTTATCTTGAATCAAAAGCATGAGAAACTTAAATAAAAGCACTGCTATTAATTTCATTAACTTTGTAATAACTTCATCTCAAATGATTAAGCTTCAAGGGGTTTTGGGGTTTTGGGGTTTTGGGG